GCAATGACAAAATCAACGATGCTAATGATCATGTTAGTGCGATGGGTTCACTCTGTCATTTGCCTACGCATACAATATATACATTAGAAAACACATATATATTGAAATTGCATAGTTCGTCGTGATCCTTTCTAATCCCACACCATGGGCTTTTAGCGGATGATGAGATGGGACATACCTCGGTATCTCAGTCAAGTCATAGCTCATTCGTTAGAGGATTTATTATAATAATTATTGAGAGATTATAGATTTTCTTTTATCTTGTTTTCATTTTTAATTCATCACTCGTAGTAATCTTATGAAAGATAAAAAGAAAAGAGAATGAGATTAGTAGTGTTGTTGTGGGCGACTACTATAGCAACATCGCTACCACTTGGATGATTGTTGTAGCTTGTTGCGATTGTAGCATTACCGTTGCTTAGGGCAACTATAGCAATGTCGTTGCGGCATTTGTTGGCCACGGTCGATGTCAACTATACGTAAAAGACCATGATACTCAGTGGTTGCATGACAAACTCGTAAGCACTAGTGGGTGCCACGATGACTATGTGGTTGCTAGTTGGTACAAAATCACGTGTGGCTACGATGACGATGAGGTCGTTGATAAGTCGCATGCGAAGAGCTATGCAACCACGAGCGACGAATGACCAGTGCACCATCAACGAGGCATCCAAGTATGGGCATAGTGGGATGCGATGACAACATGAGAATTTGATTTTTTTTTTAAGCATATTCAACGACATTTGTTGGTCACGGTCGATATCAACTAGACGTAAAAGATCATGATACTCAGCGGATGCATGACAAACTCGTAAGCATTAGTGGGTGTCACGATGACTATGTGGTTGCTAGTTGGTACAAAATCACGTGTGGCTACGATGATGATGAGGTCGTTGATAAGTCGCATGCGAAGAGCTATGCAACCACGAGGGACGCAAGCGACGAATGACCAGTGCACCATCAACGAGGCATCCAAGTGTGGGCATAGTGGGATGCGATGATAATTTGATTTTCTTTAAAGCATATTTTTATGCCTCGAACGCATCTTGATATAAGAAAATTATATCTCCTAAGGGCTCTTCACTGATTTAATCACGTGAGGAGAAGCGCAAGTAAAATTCTCCAGCATCATTAGAATTCATGAAGTGATATATAATACGAATTACGGCCAGACCTAAACAAAAGAGGAATCTCTCGAGTGTGGCGTGCACCGGTGTGCAAAAAGTGGTGGTTTGGTCAGTGTTAGCCCGATAGGTACGGCGAGTGTGGCGTGCACCGGCCTGTTATCCTTCCACCGTCAAGAGCGGGAGGTTATCGCTGCTCTGTGAAACCAGCCTGACGCGGTGTCCTCCGCTTTAGGATCCCAGATGGCTCGGGCCTTCGTTCGGGCCACATAGCTCAGCTGCCTGACTTGGAACGGGCAAGCCAAGTCTAGCACGACCGCACCCAACCTATTCGGGCTGAACACAACATCCCACCACCTTATTGCCCCCACTCGGGTTACAAGCCGGCGTTACCGGGCTCGGCGATCGAGGCGCTTCCACAGCTTCATATAGCCTGTTAGTGAATCCTAAATATGGGCGATGTGGGACTAAGAGCGCTTCCCCTGCTCCCTCCTTTTTCCTTTCCGAACATTCGTGCACCGCATGCTTTCCAGGAGAAACCCGAATTGCATCTAAAGTTTCGATCATGGTTCCCCACCACCTAAAACCATTCCATCCCCTTCGAACAGACCAACAGAAGATGCCCTGCAGACCCCTCCAGATTACCTGAAACCTCGAAACCCAATGTTCTCCTGCATCGGGGATTCAACATGTTTCGAGCTAAATTTCTCCTACATCACCTGACCGCAATGCTGTGACTTTGGTGATAATGAACAAGTGTAAGCTGATAAACGCTATACCAATGCCCGAATACGTTGTCGGCCTCCTCGTTGCAGAAGAGGATCGACTTTTAGATTGTGAATATGTGTCTTTGAACATAGATGCGCTAGCATGTGTATAAACCATTACTTCTTAATTCGATGCGAGATGGGGTAATCAGATGGTCGAATTCCTCTTTGAAGCTGATAGAATCCAACTCGATCGTTGTTCTCCTGCCAGCCCAATACAGATCCAGGCCCATTTAAGTATGGACCGTCCCAAATAGTTTCGGATCTAGTTTAACTCCCATCATAGATTGATGGCCATCAAGATTAGAGGCCCCCTTCCAAACTCCCACCCTCCGAGTGCCGACCCTCTGATTCCCAAAACCCTTCGTGTACATCTCGCACTTGTCACTCTCATCTCCCAAAAAAAAAAAAAAACACCCCAAGGAAATGGCTCTCTCCAAACCCCTCTTCTTCTCCCATCACCTCCGGTCGCTAAAACCATACTACGCACCCGCTGCCTTCCCCTTCGCTTCTCACCTCCGCCTTCTCTCCTTCGCCACCCCGGAGGAGGCCGCCGCCGAGCGCCGCCGTCGCAAGCGCCGCCTCCGCATCGAGCCGCCACTCTCCTCCCTCCGCCACCAGCAGCATCCACCCGCCTCCTCCGCCCCTCCGCCTCGGTCACCAAGGACGGCCCCCAACCCCAACGCCCCCAAGCTGCCGGAGCCCATCTCCGCCCTCGCCGGCAGCCGCCTCAACCTCCACAATCGCATCCTCACTCTCATCCGCGAGAACGACCTCGACGAGGCCGCCCTCCTCGTCCGCCACTCCATCTACTCCAACTGCCGGCCCACCATCTTCACTGCCAACGCCGTCCTCTACGCCCTCCTCCGCCAGTCCCGCTACGCCGACCTCCTCTCCCTCCACCGCTTCATCACCCAGGCGAACGTCGCCCCCACCGTCATCACCGTCAACCTTCTCCTGCAAGCCTACTGCGACTGCCGCAAGACCGACATCGCCCTCGAGCACTTCCGCCTACTCCTCAAGGACGATGCCCCCTTCCCCCCCTCCCCCACCACCTACCGCATCGTCACCAAGGGCCTCATCGACAACAGCAAGCTCGATCAGGCCCTCGAGTTCAAGGACGACATGCTTGCCAAGGCCGTCGTGCCTCCCGACCCCGTCGTCTACAACCACCTAATGTGGGGCTTCGTTAAGAAAGGCGACCCCGACAAGGTCGTCTCCCTCTACGAGGAGCTGCTTGAGAAGCTCGGTGGCGGGAAGATCCTCGACGGCATCGTGTATGGTAACCTCATGAAGGGGTACTTCGGGAAAGAGATGGAGAAGGAGGCGATGGAGACATACCACGACGTCCTCGGCGAGGGCTCCAAGGTTAGGTTTGGTGCGGTGAGCTATAACCAGGTGCTGGATGCACTGGGGAGGAACGGGAAGCTGGAGGAAGCCATTACACTGTTCGACCGGATGCTGAAGGAGCACGACCCACCAAGGACTATCACCGTCAATCTGGGGACCTTCAATGTGATGGTGGATGCCTACTGCCTTGCCGGGAGGTTCCAGGACGCGGTCACGGTCTTTGGGCGGATGGGCGAGCAGAAGTGCACCCCCGACGCGCTGTCTTATAACAATTTGATCGAACAGCTGGGGAGCAACAAGTTGGTCGCGGAGGCAGAGGAATTGTACAAGGAAATGGGCGAGCGCGGGATCAATCCGGATGAGTACACGTATGTTCTGCTGGTGGAAGCATGTTTTGGAGTGGATAGGGTGGACGACGCCACAGCGTACTTCCAGAAGATGGTGGAGTTGGGGTTGCGGCCAAATGCAACCGCGTACAATAAGGTCATCGGAGGACTGGCGAACGTGGTAACGCTCGACGAAGCCAAGAACTTCTTCGACCAGATGTTGGAGACGGAGGTGAAACCAAACGTCGCGAGTTACGAGCTGTTGCTGAAAGGTTTCATCGACTGTGGCCGATTGGAAGATGGTCTTAAGACGCTCAAGGATCTGCTGCTGGATGATGGGGTGACATTGAGCCAAGAAATGAAGGAGCTCGTGGAGGAGGCACTGAGGAAAGAAGGGAGAGATGAGGAGATGGGGAAAGTGTACGAGGATGTCGAGAGGGAGAAGGCGGAACGATTGGCTCGGGAAGCAGAAGAGAAAGCGAGAGCCGAGGCGCTTGCCAGGGAAGAAGAGGAGAGGAAGAAGAGGGAAGCCGCGGAGAAGGAAGCTGCTGCTGCCAGAGCTAGTGCTGCAGCTATCGAGGCGATTCTGGGACGGAAAAAGGATGCTGCCAAAGAGGAGTCTCCTGCTGGTGGTGGTGAAGAGAAGAATGGAAGCGTGGAGTCTAAGCCTACTGATGCACCACCGGAAGGGGAAGTTCTTGCAGAAGCAAGGAATGGTGGTGAGGGAACAGAGGGAGCTGGAGATCCTTCTCAACAGGTATCTACTACATGAAATTGAGATAGTTTCAGAAAATGCATTCGGGAAGAACATCTTGTGCATGATATATTTGTTGGCTGCTGTATCTCTCGAGTTACAGTATCAAGTTCATCATAACTTGCCATGTAGGGGTATAATGCATCTGATTGACATGGCTTATATGTTCTTGAGGATTGACAACTTTGTCTCAAGGAAGACATCCATGTTAAAGAACTCATTGTTTGGAACCAAAATGATCCCATCCTTTTGTTGCTGGGTGCTTTCTAACACGCATGATGATCCAACAAAATGATACCGTTCCTCTTTCACAGATCATGGCAGCACAAGTGTCATTGTGGATGTATATCACACATTAAACAACACCTCCTGGCAAATCAAAACTAGAACATGTAGATACAAAAGTGTCACAAATATATAACAAGGTAAAAGCACCATCATCATGCTACAGATTGATGGGCCAGTTAGGCGTGTCTCAGCTGCTGCAGTGTTTTGGCATGCAAACTCCAGCATCACTGTTCTGTTGCTCCTTCCAAATCCTGCCAATGACCCTCAATTTCAGTCCTTTCCTGTCACCACCGGAGAAGAAGAGCGCCATGTTCCTCTGTATGATGAGTCCGTCATGACTGTCTCGGACTTTGCGGTGGCCGTCGCGAATGCTCCGCGGTGTGCCTTCCCATGTCAGCTTCCTTCCGTTGGCCCCGACCTCAAGGCTGTAGCTAAAATTCCTTGCTTCATTCTCGTCACCCATGAATCGAAGAAATGCCATGTACACAGGCGCCATCCCTAGCTGGAATGCCTCGAAGTGCAAGCAGAAGTAATGCCCAAAACAGTTAAAGACCTGGTCAGAGAAAGATGATATGGACATGAGAGAGAGATTTTCCTGGACAACATGTTGTACTGGTGACCTATAATGAGAACCCTGGTAAAATCACTTTTTAAGTAGAGGCCACACACTTATCAAACCTGCTTCCACAATTATGCAAGATGATCGAATCTAAATGTGGAGCAAACTCACAAAACTCATAAAAGACATCCAAGAATATTTGAGGAATCAGTAATAAGATCAGAGTGTGCTTACAGTCAGCATCCACGTGGCATTTTCAACCTCTCTTGGATTTGATTTAACATATCGATGATTGAACGTGCAGCCTGTGTGCATGTCTACTTTGTGGTCGTCTCTTAAATGTGTAATCAAGAAAGGGATATCCCCTACGGCAGAGCATTCAGATCCGGCATATGGGCAATTATACGGTCGATGGTTGCACTGAGCTTCATGCGTCAATTTGCTGTAGTATGGGAAGATTTCGGGGCAGCCAAGTGCGTAATATTTGCAAGGAAGTTCAAGTGATTCGGCCACTTTTTCCAAAGCTAGACACCTGATGTCTCCAAGCTCTTGCCGACAAGTAGGGCACCGGTTTTGCACCCTCATTTTACATGTTGAACACAGTGTATGTCCATTTTGGCACTGCAAAAGAATGTAACCCATGAGACACAATACCAGTGTGGAACCAAATAACTCCTTGTTCATAAATTTCGATGAGTTGCTTGCTGAAATAACCTCTCTACGTACAAGTAAAAATTTCTCATATTGATGCTACCCTAAATAAAATCATGACAAAATCACATACATAACGGTCTTTTTTGATATATAATTCATAGACATAATAATGACAAAACAGCAGTACAGGATCCCTCACATTATCTCAATTAAATGAAGAATTTAAACCATAAAGATTAATCGACTCGAAGACAGACTCCTCATCAATTATAAAACAATACAGGCAGTGGAGCAAATCAGATTTGCTGAAATAAAAGTAACTGTGATCCTCCTAATTGCAGTTATTAACTATTAACTACTATAAGTAAGAGGAAAACAACTTGGATCCAGAAGTGCTAAAGCAGGGATTAATTTGTTACATAAATAAACTTACTACCTGATATGATAAGTCCAGTATAAGTTTATTACACATGCAGACAAAGTAGAATTTGCCACTAAAAGATAGACTATGCTGGTTGGACAATTGAATTGCCAATTACGACATCATTACGTCCATCGTTAAAGACCAAAAGTGCATGTAAGTCAACCAAGACATGTTTCAAGAAGCACAAACAAGATTCAAATAGTTCAATCATCTGTATTTATACCAATTTAGTAACCAGAGATTACGAACCTACAGAATTCAGAAAATTAAACATCATTAGTAGAAAGAACATCTGCACAACAGTTTTACAAGCCAAAGTATAGGAAAAGAAAGAAATAATGGGACAAGAAAGCAATCTCCTGAATATATCTAAACAAATAGCCGTCCAAGAGAATAATTACTATTAAAGTTAACCAAAAACAAGAATTATGTACAACTACAGCTTTAAAGAGATAATTCTAATGAGCAGATGATGCTGATCAAATATGCTGGTAAATCTCAAAAGTAAATAATGCATTTCTTGGATTAGACATTGTATATTGAGAGCAATAAGCAGATAACTATTCCCAAAGCATGCATCAACATCAACTGATTAATTTTACACGATCCAAAAAGTTCTTGTATCTTTTCAGCACCAACATTAAGCAAACTATCAAGGCCGACATTTCAAAATCACAATGATATGTCAGATCAACCAATTTATATATTCTTTTTGGACATGCCAAAGAGTCAATGAGAAGCCTAAATCCTCAATACAGGCACCAAACAAATTAACGACCACTCGAGCATAAGATACTAGTCTCAAGCCTGGATAAAAAAGGTGAAGGGTTGCGTTAGGTTACTGATAACCAATCCAATGTAAAACTATACCAGTTCTCATGAACATGTATCTTAACCAAATTCAATTTCAATGACAGAAAAGACCCATGCAACCAACACCAAATAATTGGGACTTACGGCTTTTCCGTTGTTGTTGTACATGACAAAGAGTCACTGAGAAGCCTAAATCCTCAATACAGATACCAAACAGCAACCCCAAATTGATGATTACTCGAGCATAAGATGAGCCAATTCAGCCCATAATTTGAACATCACAATCGATAACAGGAAATGAACAATGATTTGGTACAAAATTTGATCATAAAGAGATAAAAATTAAAAATTAAAGGAAAGTCAATAAAAATAAATTATAATACCGCAGAAACACAAAAAATCCAAATATCGTATCCTTTAGACCTTTCAACAAACACGTAGCAGCTAACGATCCACCGTCTTCTAACAACACATAATCCGTTGTTTGTTACAGAATCGCAAATTGTATGATCCAAACGACGAAAGACATGGGAAAATAGGAATCAAAAGCACGTCAAAGTGCCAAAATTGATTCGATCACCTCATCCAAATCGAATAGTCGACGAACATCACAGGCTTAAGCTAAGCACCGCAATTAAATGTCGGAATAGATTATAAATCGCGAACCACCGAAAAATTACATGATAACGAAGAAGATGAATCGACCTGATGGATCGGGGGGTACATGGAGTTGGTGCAGACAGGGCACTCGAGCAGCTCGTGGACGCTGGTGGCAGGGGCGACGACGGCGGCGCCGTGGGGCTTGAAGGACGAGCGGTGGGGAAGGGAGGTCACCTCCTCGTCCATCCCATCGACCGATGACACGCACTCGATGCTGTCGGAGTCCATGCCTCCAGCGGTCAGGGATTCAAGGATCTCGTGCCCTCCCCGCCCGTCGCCCTCTCCGCTCTCCAAAATCAGCCTGGAAAGGGTGGCGACCAAAGGAAAGGGAGCGCCTTTGAAGAGATTATGACGCAGAAGACAGAGAGAGGAGGGCTAGGAACCAAAGCGAGGAGTGAGGAGGAGGAGGTCTCGGCCCGCACTAACAGGAGGTGACGGTATCACCGCAATTCTTTTCGGGTCCTTTATATTTATTTTTTGTCACGACGCCCAATCACCCACCGGCGCTGTGATTGGAGGCAGCCCTGTGGGGCCCGGTTAACTTGATCCAAAGTCGTCAGCCTACATAGAAATTAACGGGAAAAGAAAGTTTGATTGGGAACGGACCTTCGACCATATAACGATTTACTACTTGATTTATTTATTTTGTTTGCCTAATAAATTTTGAATTTTTTATTCATAATAAAAATCTTGGTGACACACTGACGCAAATTTCGGATGTGCAAAGTTCCGTTTTCTTTTTACCAATAAAAAAGGATTTTCTTTTCAGTTTAGTGTTTGAATCCTTTGAACGGCCATCCACGTGTTGGTCGGTCCACAGGCCTCTATATTGGGTACATCAGAGTACAAAAATAAACAGGAGAACACCACAAAATGTTGACCTATTCTTCATACAAGACACCTGGCTGAGTCCCAGTTTCGTCATTTACCTCGCTCCAGCATCAACGCATGAACAGTAATAGTAACAAATCAGGATGCAAACATACCACCACATTGTTCTAATATTGCTTCATAGGATCAATGCATGAACCGTAATAGTAACAAATCAGAATGCAATCATACCACCATATTGTTCTGATATTGCTTCATAGGACCAAAGCATGAACCGTAATAGTAACAAATCAGAATGCAAACATACCACCACATTGTTCTAATATTGCTTCATAGGATCAATGCATGAACCGTAATAGTAACAAATCAGGGATGCAAACACACCACAACAATGTTCTAATATTGCTTTATCGGATAGCATACGCAACGACACCATACAAAATAGACAGCTAACTCGCATCAACCTATATAAGAGTAGTATCATTGAACAAGTAAAAAGACCAGATGTTACACAATTATTTGAATATGAATCTTTGAAGTAACTTGGAAAGGGTTTGCTACCTGGTTTTATACAACCTGCTCATATAAATGACGTCTCTGCAATCGCAGAGATATTTGTGAACTCAGAAGAGATACATGCCTCCAGATTATTTAGGGATCAACATTTGTCCAGCTGACTAGCAGCTTAATAAATTTATGAGCAAAATAAAAAATTAAGGCAAAAGATTCATTATGGAAAAGCCAAAAATTTAAAAAAAAATCTAAGCAAACAGCTTGTCTAATTGCGTTATAATCAGGGGATCAAACGTAGTAGCCAGTAAAAGTGAATCCTCTTCCAACAATCTCACCAACACAGGACCAGGCATACAACTCGAGCCCAAACAATGCTGCGATGCCAACATCCTCAACTTTGATATCCTTTCTGTTTCTCCATATGTGCTTCATGCCATCAAGCTCCTTCCAGAATGACTCGTATCGAACAGGAATGCTGCACTTAAAAGATGTCAATATAGAATGAGGTACAATTCCTTGGATGCAAAACGTAAGTTCAAAAACAAAATCAAATTCATGCAACACATAAATTATTTTAATGTTACCATACTTGAGGACTCACTTAAATGTGTTACATATAATAATTCATAAGCTCGCCATCATCAAAGTTAAGAGTTGTTGTACAATTTGAACAGTCTCTCTCGCTCACTCCAAGAATAATGCTTTGCCACCTACTGGGCATGCTACGAGACCAATACCAAAGCTAAACGATTGTTATAGAACAAACATGGAACAGCTGGCATTTTTATGGCCTAGATGTATATGGAGGTTCTAATATCCTAAATGAAACAAAACAGATAACTGGGAAGGTTAAAACATCTTAAAAACAGTGTATGGGGGTTTTAACATAAGATATTCACTATGACATCAACCATTGTCCTCACCAAGTAAAATCAACTTATATACGTATAACTGTAGAAGGAAATATTCAGCATGTCAGGTTTGCAACTTTAAGAAGGGTCTTTTTAGAGATCTCAGACGAGGTTTGTTCACTAACTAATTTAAAAACAGAACAGAATGCTCAATGACCTTAAAGCATCAGATCATCGATGCTTAACACAAGTTGATCTCAACCAGAAATCTCATAGAAATATCATATGTGTCAGCTTTTTCTCAGTAATGTGCAGCCTATAGATTTTTTAATATATGTAGATCAAAAGAGAAACAGAATCCTCATAAATAAGTGATTCATTCAAATTGAACATAACTGTCTTAGCATTAAATGGCAGTTCTTTACATTACAGTACTTTTTTGTCATGTATTAAATCCAAATATGATGATGATTGTGATCTATTAGCTCTAAGGCAATTCGGTTGTCTGTAATGAATTCCTTTTAGAACATTTCAAGTTTCTCGATTATACCATGTATTACAGACTTCATGCATCGCCATGAAGTCAATTTGGAAAAAAAGTTCAAATGTTGGCTTATCACATCGCTCTAACTGCTGCTCAGCACAGCAGAGCAGCCAAAGGAAGCCAAAGCTCAATATGTGCCCATCACACAAAGTGCATTGTGTGCCACGAATAAATAACCTCTCCCGTGGAATACCACGCTACCCCATGGCTTAAGGGGGAAGCGCTCGGCCTTGGGCATGTTAAATTGCAGAAATCATCCCAAAGGTTACATCAGCCAACGTAACTGTATAGACTTCTATGCATGGTATGCAATTTCGAATAGTACCGCCTGTATCGAGCGGTACATACCGGTCCGACAGCATACCGATACGCGGACCGTCCGCTACCGGATGGAACGTGCTATAATATTATAGTAAGAGAAGAAAATATATAAAACCGCCCTGGTGTACCGCTCGGTACATGGTACCGTACTATACCGAGCCAACCTCGAAACATCGGTATGGTACGATATTGCATACCTTGCTTCTATGTATTCTTTAACAGCCACAACAAGATGTATTTCTCAAGAAATAGCAATAAAATAACAGGATACTACATTTGGCAAAAGGTCAGAGTAATTGACAGCTAATAGCAATTCAATTTTGTTTGTTTGCTACTTAAACTAACTAATATATTAATCCTCATTTTACTTTGGTTACTAATGAAGCTGACAATTAGTTATTAGTGTATCAAAAATAAGATATAGGATTATGTCAACACACTCTTTGAGGTGGGCCATTTTGATCAGAGTTATTACGGTTAGCAACCTTTGACAACACTATATTGTTTGGCAAGCAAGCAACTGATCACCAAGTTAAACATCCTTAACCCTGAACCACAAACAGTAGAACATTTCCACATATCAACCAAAGGTCAAGCAACATGTTTTGGGAAGAAGGAAACTCCATACGATACCCCATCAAGAAAATAGATAACCTAACATAAAATGTACGTGTTATTGGGTTCACAAAGATTTTACAAGTTATCAGAAAATCAAATCAAAAGCTTCTGAATTTAAAATCGGGGTGTCAGAGAAGAATCAAACAAATGAACTACTTCCACTACGTCCAGAAACAGATCCTACATGCATTCTATGCTCAGAAAGATAGAATACATAGTGTTGCCGGGCAAAGACAATCTATGGCATACTACTCATTCTATCCTTTATACTCCCTGATTGTGGTTTCTGATTCTTTATGCTTGTTGTAGATTTAATGAAATAATCCAACCAATATGTTCTTAAACATGACTTAATTTTCATTAGACCAGCAAATGTACGCTGTTAAAATAAGTTAAAATAACATAGACATCTTGTTCAATAATGTTTACCTACAAGATTAAACCAATCACAACAAGAATAGAAGACATTCCCGAACCAATCATCTAAATTCCTTAAGATAGCAGCTAAACAAACGCCATAGCGTGAATAGAAAGCCAAACCTAGCAAGACGTGTGTAAAAGAGCTGCTTTGACAGCTCCTGGCACTTCTCGATGGTCGGCGGTTGAACGACATGCCGCTTGTTCTCCTCCATAAGCTCCTTGTAATAAGTGCATCCGTGCTTAGACACGAACTCCGAGGCTTGCACGGCCTTAGATCGCAGTTGCTGCAGTCTAGATGCCATCTACCAACCAAAAAGTGGCCACACCATGAAGAGAGACACTCATTTCAGCAGCCATCCATTTCAACGTCATATAAATCATCACGCAATGCATAGAAAAACCTAACGATCCAGAATCGCATCAATGTGGGCCATACAAGATTAACGGAAGAACCCGATCGAGATCGAAGAACCCTAATATCAAATGAAAAATGGAAGAGAGAACGGCAAAATGCCAAGAAAAAGAAAACCCTAAATCGCCGGAGACGATTATGAGAAAAAATATGGGCTCCAGTTAGAGATCGATAAGAATTCAATCAACGAATCAAGCATAAAAAAAAAGAGATTACCCCTCTTCCAGCAGGGGGGAGGTAGAGATCAGAGAGCGGAGAGGCGCCACGAGGAGCAGAGCTCGCGAGAGGCACAGCAACTGTTGGTGTTCATTATTTATACATCAGTTCCAATGAGGGTAGTTCGGTAATTTACGCTTGCTAGGGTTCCATGTAAGAGTTTGGTAATTTCACAGTGAAGCAGACAGCGTAGTGAATTTTTTTCCGGGAATAAATGATTCCTCTACCCGTTGCGGGACCCGTGCGGGACCTACTTAATGACAACAGTGCGTTTTGTGGTTACTTAGGCAGGTACGATGGAGAGCGCGCGAAACAATGTACAGGTAGCCAACTGCATGACAATTGAAGGACCGACCGATATGAGATATAAAAGGATTACATGCTGCCGAAACGGATACAATTCAATTTGCCATCCGATCATACTATCTCGATCTGGACCCGATTGACATAACTAGTGGATTGGGTTGGGTCAAATCGAAAGTTGGATCAGATGTGATTTACATTGTAATTTAGCAAAGAATCAAATCATAACATGAAAAATATAAATATTCTTGATACAAGCTACCGACTGGTCAGACCCGTTTGACCAAAAACCCGACCCTTTAATCGACAGAATGGAATTAAGATTCGCAACTCTCTGCGTCTGCAAAATAATCTGTAAAAGACAGCCTCAGTTGGGTTCACAACATGAACATCGAATACGACATGTTCGTAACATCTAATTTTAGAAGAAGCATATGAATATAAACTATGAACAAGAACTCAATTTACTAAATAGTTCATAATATTCATAACATATTGTTCCAGTAACAGCTTCGAGAAGTGTTTATTGAGTGGAGACAATCTTTTTCACATAACCCCCAGTGAAAAATTATCTATGATGCATCTGAAACAAAAAGACTGACAGAATCCAGCGCACAGCAGCTTTTATTTAGCACATAGAACAGACACCAGAAAGTAATCTGTCGACAGATTTAACTTCTCTCTACTTGGTCCACCGAAGAAGGAAAACGAAAGATGAGTTAGAGATATGTTTTCAGAAATAATAAGAAGAATAAAAGCTAGAAAAATACACAAAAAGGCCGATCATCATGTGATTAATATTATAGATCAGCGCCCTGATGATAATTTTGTGTCAATTCAAAAGGTTTCATAGATGCAACTATGTTGGCTGTTCTTTTTTTGTCCAAAGAGAGAAAAGTACATTAAGATTAGAAGCTAAAAGAGAGAAAAAGTATGGTGGCTATTTTCACAACGCTAAGCTAACAGAACTGGTTTTCCAGGATGGAAAACATGGAGAATCCAATCAAACAGGACGTGAGAAAAAGAGATGGGACTTGGGTATCAACTGGCATATACATATCAGCGAAGTGCAGTGTCAGGCAACGTGGAATCTGATGCTGCTTTTCTAATTTTAAATATATGGCAAGACACTGAAAAATTGATATCTAACAAATAAACACTGTGCTACTCCTTGTAAAAGAGAGCTAACCTAGTTTGATCCAAAATAAAGAGAGGCATCATATTTACGCTCGAACTAATTATTCATTCAGCCTCAAAGATATGTTTTCTTTGCTTTTATGGGACTTGAACCGTCTGTCTTTTCAGTCCACATATTCTTTACCTGTTGTGATATGGTTGTCCCTGTTTCTGTAATACCTTGCAATATCTTGCTTATAATCTTGCTTTTGAGGAACCCTATCCCTTAGAATATTCCCTGAATAACAGAGAAAAAATTTTCAGAACATACAATCAAGTTTCATGTATAAAATAGAAAGGGAAAAAAAAAACATTACACCGATTTCTCAGGAAAATCGTCTTCATCTTCATCAGCTTCTTCACCAATAAATCTTCACGAGAATACATTTACATTCCTTGTGCTCCTGGCATTCCCTGTCTTTGTAACAGCTAATGACATCATATCAATTCAATGGATCAAAATTATAATGTCAAACCAGTAGGTACTCGTAAATCTACCTCCATGGATATTAAGATCTTATCCATTTCAGCCTCTTTAGATAACTCGGAATAAAAGGTCTCCAGGAATCCTATCCTGCAAATTTGACACCATAAATTGATCAGCTTTTCATTCCAAGCAAAGTCATAACCCAACTTTAAACAACTGTCTGCTAACAACATAGCATGATATATTTTCGAATTAGATGATACGGTATTGTAATTCCCAATTGCCAATAACTTGTTTGACAAATTTCAGCACATAAATTTTCTGTTTCTTGCATGCCAAGGCATGTGATGCAAAATGCGGCCTGCCGATAGAATAATAGCACAGTGCAGAGTGCCATGCAAAAATCAATAGGGTATTTCCTTGCATGCCTAAGAATGTGGTGCAAGATGTGCCCTGCTGACACTGGGTATAATACCATGCTACATCCCTTAACACAAGTAAAGTGTCAGCATCCAACCAACACAGGCACAAGGAAGAGGCCATGTGCCATGTTGAACATAGTTTGCTGGAGGTTTGCGATGTGCAGTAATAAGAGGAAAAAAGATGTTTCAAGAGACTAAATCAGAGGTAAAAAAGGTCAACAATGCTGTAGAACAAAATAAGAGTAACATCATCGAAAGTCCAATGCACAAGTATCTGGAATAAACGAAACCTTTAGATGTCAATGTTGACTATGCTGAAGGTCCAGACTAGGCTTGACAAGAGTGGTGGCTTATGTGTGGATACCATCGAGCTGATAGAAGTTTGCAAAGAATCCATCAGGTGTTTCATATGTTTCTCATGCATCCAGACAGGTACCACATTATAACACCAAACATCTATAATCTTACAGTAATTAGTCAAGGGCCCTTTCTTGATTCAATTTTCTACTATCTGTCATGCAACATAACATCAATTTGAAGGGCTTCCAGTCTTCTAAAACAATGAAGAGTTGATAAGGTAAACGAATTAACAGAAAGGAAAGCAAAATACATGTTGTATATAGCAACAGCTGTAACAAAGGTACAGAATTTGCCTCGCAATCTACTTGTCCATTACAGTATGTTATTTTGTCTTTTATAATTAAACAGCTTGGTTATTACATGTAACAAATTTTTAGGAGCTTAAATGCTTCGACTAAAAGAAACACAGATAGCAAAGTATAGATTCTTGAAGAAACGAGCTTCAGCTATTCTGCAAACTATAACTACTTTGAAGTACGGGATTGCAATAATTGAAGTCTTGCACTAAAAACATATTCGACAACATCAGTACATATCCTGAAAAGAAAATATGCTGAATATCAACAAATTAAGAATGAATGTCATAGACAGTTTTAGTACCACTCCATCAGCTCCCATGAATTCAGGTTGAGTTTCTGGAACAGCTGTTTCTGTGGTATCAACAATTCAGTGTACTTTGCCCAGTATAAGCAACATATTCCTCTACAGCCATTTTGCTGTGTCAATTACTTCTGTTTCATATACATTGCTATGTCCTTTAGATGGAACCATCTTGAGCCAGAAATACATGGCATTGGCCATTGACCTCAATCCAGCTACACCCTGGTTCCTTTTTAATGCCACGACTAACCATAAATTTCCTCATCCTAGTGGCATCTTCCCACCTCCCTGCGGCTGCATATAAGTTGGACATCATGATATAACTAGAGTCCACACTTGGGTCCAACTCAAACAGTTTGTTTGCTGCTCTTTCTGCAAATTCCACATTCCCATGTATTCTGCAAGTTCCAAGAGCTGTTTGCCATATTGAAGCATCTGATGATAATCCCATCTCATCGATAAAATGTACAACTTCATCATGTTTACCTGCTTTGCCAAGGATGTCAATTATGCAATGATGGTGCTCAATTGTAGGAGTGATCCCATAAATACGATACATAGAATTAAAGTATTTCATGCCTTCATTAAGTAAACCTGCATGGCTACAAGCCGAAAGGACACCGACAAAAGTCACTTCATCAGGTCTCTTTCCCTCCTCTATCATCTGTTGAAAGGATTCAAGAGCTTTCCCCACATACCCATGTTGAGAATACCCACAAATTAAAATGTTCCATGAAACTTCATCATGAAAAGTTGACTCATTAAACGCTGCTTCAGCATCCATCATACACCCACATTTTGCATACATATTGATGAGGTTACTTGAAACATATGATCCAGTCAGTCCAGATTTTATGGCATGTGAGTGAAACTGGCGACCGCTGTCTAATGCTGCTATGTATGAGCAAGCTCCCAAGCAACAAGAAATTGTGAACTCATTCGGATCCAGGCCCTGCTGCTGCATCTGTCTAAAGCAATTTATGGCCTTCTCACCTTGATATGTATTTGTGTACCCTGTGATGATGACAGTCCAAGAAAAGACATCTCTTTCAGTCAGTCTATCAAAGACCAAACATGCATTTTCTAGGTCACCACTACTTGCATACATATCAACGAGACATCTTCCAAGAAAAGAATCTCGAGATAGGTTACTCTTAAAAATATGAGCATGAACTTGAGCACCATATCTGGCATCCTTCAGGCTAGTACAGGATCTTAAGATGCTGATATATGTGTAAGTGTTAGGCATGATATTTTGAGTAAGCATGCCAATGAAAATTCTTAACCCTTTGTCACAGGAACTGCCACTATGAAATCCAGAGAGAAGGCTGTTCCAAGATATAGTGTCATGTTCCATCATAGTGTCAAACACCATGCACCCATCTTCAACAACCCCATTCTTCATGTACATGTTTAATATAGCATTCCCAACTTCTTTTCTCATGTCAAATCCATTTTTCAGAATATAAGCATGAAGACTACCACAGAGTGCCTGATCATCCAACTGAGAAGCAGCACCTGCTACACTTGCAACAGTGAAATAATTTGGTCTAACGCCCATTCTTTTCATAGATCGGAAGAGTTCGACAGCTTCAAGACCCATCCCTTGCTGATCAAAGCCTGAAATCATTGCACTCCAGACAACAACATCAGGATCAACAATCCTAACAAAGATCTTATGAGCTTCCTCGACAAGGCCGCACTTGGAGTACATATCCACCAGACTACTACTCAAGAATCCATCTTGTTCCAACCCAATCTTGATTACCAAACAATGAAGTGACCGTCCTTGTCTCACTTCGCCCAAGCCCGCACAGTGCTTGATAACTGTAGGCAATATAAACTCGCTGACCATGGTTCCTGACTCCATAAACCCCCGAAAAAGCTCCAGAACCTTCATGTCTTCACCCAACCAAGCATATCCTCCCAGCAGTGCATTCCAAGAAGTAACATTCTTTTCCGGTAAACCAAAGAACACTTTCTCAGCAAGCTCCATTCCTGCGCACTTCACATAAAAATCAACAAGGGAAGACCCTACAATCGGATCAGATAAAAGGTGCATTTTTACCGCTTCCCCATGCAACTGTTGTCCAAAACCCAAGTCCTCGCAAACCGAACAAGCTTTCAAGCCGGAAGCAAGAGCAAAAGCATTCGGCCAAACTCCATCCGTCATCATCTCGCAGAACATTCTCATGCCCTCTTCACCGTCATTCGCGCACGCGTGCGCTGCCATGAGGCACGTCCACGCCACAACATCCCGGTGCGGCATTAGCTCGAATAGCAAGCGAGCACCTTTCAAGCTCCCACATTTACAATACATATTAAGCAAGCAGTTCCAGAGATGGGCATCGGGCTCGATTCCGGCTCTCAGCAAGCGGCCGTGGACGGCCTTCCCGCGGGGAAGGGATCCTCTCGAGCTGCAGCCATGGAGCATCCGGGAATAGCTTCCGAGGGAACAGTCGTGATGAAGATGGGCTCCGCTGGTGTCAATAGGAGAAGGAGAAGGGATTGGAGAGGACGGAATGGGTTCAAAGGGAGTAAGGTGTCGGGATTTATGGGGTTTGGGATTCGCAGGGACGGAGATGGAACGCGGCAGCGATGGCGATGGGAGAGGCGTGGCGCGGAGTAGTAGAGATGAGCATTGCCAATCCATGGTGGCGTTCGCATCCGAACGATGAAGGGGGAGTAGTTTTTCCGGACGGCATTGTTTTAAGGACAGAGGAATCGCCACGTTGGACCGCCATCAGCCGTCAAACACAATCACGTCTCATGATCTATGATGATGAAAGAAATGTACGGACCTCCGAACTCTTTTTAACATCCAACATGCTTGGGATACTTAGATGGATGCCTGGCAACACAAGCTGAGGAAGCAATTCCAAGTATTAATTTGTCATCTACAGTTTTGTATTCATATAATCTAAGTTATATAGCACAGGTCAGAATAATCATAAATGACTGTGTTCAGATGCAAGTCAGGCTGGTTGACTCATGTTGACATAAGTCAGACTATTCTGGTCGCTGCCAGTTTCAATCAAGGATGACATAATACATGTGCTCCCTTCAATGCTTACTTAAATTATGGTTTGCTCAGTGCCAGTAACTTTTTTATGTGCTGGAAGTGGCATCTTAGACATATAATTATGGCTTCCCAAGCTGTCATCTTTCGGCTCACATCAACAGGCAGAAAAGTAACAAGACTCAGTTGATTCCTTGTGCAGAGGTTTGCACTGAGCAGATGCATTAGAATATTTTAATCTCTTGACATAGAGATGCATTAGAAAAACATGGTTTATATATGTTGTCCAAATGTTTTGATGATTTTAATGTGTTATATGCCAGTGCAGGAGACCCTAATATTCTGTAATTGAAGGCCTTCATCTTCCCTGTTCTCCTGCACAGAAACTCCTAACAGTCCCCCCGTTTTCCTGCCCACTACCTGGAACAGCCGTCGTTTACGCAGAAATGCACGCTTGCTGTTCTTCAACAAGCATGCCTCAGAAAAGATTATATAGAAAGGCTACAAACCATCTTCTTTGATCAGCACAAAACACAAAATGTTTCTAATTCTGTTTAACTATTATCGAGTATCGATACATAGCAGGTTAAATGGTGAGAGGAGGAAGAGTAATATAAGGCCTAAACATAGAGAGGTCACGCGAACAAGGTCTTTGGCCATGTTCGCATTTGAGTCGCATCTAGTGAGGAACACGAAGAGGCAGGGGAAGAGTTTCTGTGGGGGAAGCTGGAACCATCTTGGGCTTGCAGTCGACGGAGAACATCTGGCTGGGGCAGTTCCGATCGGCATCGATCGACCTGTCGACGAGCTGGAGGAGGACTTTCTCGAGCTCCTCGCCAGTGCTCCATTCGTGAACCTCTGCTCTGAGAGGCTGAGGGCTGTTGCATATGAGACTCCACAAGGGGTAGTGTTTCCTTGGCATCACATAGTCTTCTTCGCTGAGCCCGAGGGATGGGCAGTAATCACCCTGGCCATCTCCCAGATAGATAAATCTCTTCTTTCCTTCGACAAAAGCAGCTGCTCGGATCCGATCGATGATCTTACCCTACACTCGATAAGATCATCATTATAAAGGTTAGAACATAATTGTTGTACCACGACGGTAGTAAATTCCGCATGACACAATCAAGTTTAACCATTACTACCTTGCACATGTTGGGGGGGCAGATGCTGCAGCCATGAGAACGGGTGGTGAAGTCATGGCAGGGGAAGATCCTCAGCCTCCCCTCTTCATCCACAATACTAGGGTTCGTATTGATCTCCTTGAAGCACTCCAGCAACCCATGATGCCTCAGAATCGTGTCTATAAAGAACTGGTTTGCGTCGCTCACCACCCTCAGATCACACCTGGTAGCAGACAAAAAGAACGGATCAGAGACGGATTCCCATCGAAGGAGAGAAAGACAGAACAGCATACCCAAGAGCGTAAGCGGTCTTGATGGCTTCGACGACATGAGGGTCCAGAGGAGCTGTTCTCAGGCAGGCTGCAATGTCTTCGATGGACCTCCCTCCTGCATGCAGCTCCCTCATCATCCGATCCTGAGAGTAGCAGACCCAGCGTCAGTCGTAAAGATCTCAACCTACACCTACTCACAGATGAAGGAGGGCATTACAAACCATGAGGGAATTCCACGGCATCGTCGGAATAAGCCGCTCAAAAACGTCGGCGACACCCAGCCGATCGACCACCCAGTTATCGCTGTCGCAGTCGATGATGGTCTTGTCGAAGTCGAACACCACCACAATGCCCGCCATGGCCGCAGCTAAAGTAGATCAGGAGAAGCCAAGGCCTTGAGGATCCAAATGGTTCGGAGGGAGGGTATATATGGTGAGGAGGAAGATGCCGATGGAATATTACTCGGCATCAATAGGTCGCGAGACCATGCGGACGCCGATTCGATTCTAAGTCCCAAGGCATCAGGCGCCGTGGGAAGAGATCTTACGTCCCTTGTTGGCTGCTGTTCCAGCGAGGATAGGGGAAGGCATAAAGAATAGCATATTCCAAAGCGTCACCGACCTGTTGCGGTGTTTGTGCGCACGCGTCGTATTACTATGCGGAATATGGGGAATAGTCTATTCCATAATGCAACCCTAATTGCTCTTCTCGACCTGCCTTTGTTGAAGGACCAAGTTATCGAAGCCACCGATTTAGATTCCAGAGGGCATGACTCAGTGCCAATCCACTCACGAAAAGGGAAGAAGAAACGCTCACGGAAATCTCGTCAGCGTTGCTTGGTGGATTGGGAGGTGGAAATCGAAGACGATGACGCGCCTCCGAAAGGAAGGCATCATGTGGTGAGGTTGGCATCCGATTGTGGACGCAGAGCACTAAACTAGTGGCTCGTGCATGTATTCTTTTATTGGAATGTAGTGGCACGATGAGGACTATATTATGTGAAACAGGAAGGAACCATGGAGTCCCATTCATGTCGACGTGGCAATCACATAGCTTTTCATAATGGTACACGAATATGTTTACGTAAGTGCTGATTCACAACCGTGTAAAACGTACACTTATGAATGGAATGCTGATTTAAAGCAATATACATGGTAAAATTAGGACTAATTATATATTATTTCTTAAAAAAATATAGTCTCCCATACTATATCAAGCGATGTTACCACCTAGGTAGGCGGTGGTACCACTAGTACCCAAAAATATGATGATTTAAATTTTTAGTTCCATTTTTGAAGTCATTTTGGGTCTATAAATACCCCTCATGCTTGTTTGATAAAGCATGAAAAGCTTGTGATTTTAAAGCATTGTAAACTCTTGAAAAGTATTGAGTCTCTTTTTCTTTGAAGTTTAGAAGTTATTCTAAGAGATGTAAGAGGTCTTTTATAAAAGAAGGATATAAGAGTTCTCTCCAAAATCTGTAAAAACGAGAAAGAGTTATAACAAGGGTAGTTGATCTTTGTTCATTGAAAGAAGATCAGTAGTGAAAGTCGATGACCTCGAAGGAAGAGAAATCGGGAGTGGACGTAGGTCGGGACGACTGAACCACTATAAATCGATTTGCATTTCTTCTTTTGCTTTGATTTACTATTATATACTGATTTACTTACTAATCAATTTATACTCGCACTTTTTGTTAATCATATTTTCGATACAGATTCATTGATTGAACTTTTAAACCAAAATTTTCGAAAGCATTAATTCTCTCCCTAGTGCCTTTATGATCCTAACATTTCTCCCCCTTCGTCTTTCACTGACTTAAGCATAGGAGGAGTTGAGTTAAGAAGCCCCAAGCGAGAGACCTGTTGTTTGGGACCATTGACGGTCAAGAGACGATTTCGCTGCTAGGACATAGCCTTGTAGTCACGAGGCAACCCTTCGACCGGAGGACAACCCATCGGTCCGAAAAGAGGATCTCACAACCAAGCATATCTTGGTTCCTCTACTCGATCTTACAACTCCAAGGCTAGATTGACGCTGATGAATCGCATCCCTTGCGGACCTCCTATGCTGATTTCCCCTGTCAGCACTCCCACATCAGCATGAAGGAGAACACAAGAATGAAGTTTCTTATCTTCAATAAAGCTTCTTTAATAAAGTGATTCTTCAATAAAGTTTCTTTAATAATTCTTCTTATCTTTTATTCTTTCCAATAAATCAATTGTGCCGACTCACTAGTCGATGATATTAATGATCTATCAAATAGTGAGAATCAAAATTTTTTTATTTTTTTTATTTTAACATCATTTATATATATGATAGTACGTGAAATATATTTCATTAATAGAATCGATAATGTAAGGAAAAATGATATTAAATATTTTTTTAAGTACATGGATGTCAATATAATTTTTTAAAATATAGAAATTGATATATTAAATATAATTAATTACAGGGATAATATGTAATTGATCCATAAAAATTTAATGGGTAAATTTTTTTTGAATCATAGATATTGTTTTCGATATATTCTCCATCGCTCATAAAAAAAATTATCCCCGATTAATTTTCACCGGTTAGGTTTAGCCATGAATCATTCAAGATGAGTCAGCTTCGACCCCTTCGGTCTAGCCATGTTTGGTTTCTTCGTGCAGGCCATCGCACCGGCAAGGCCCCATCGGAGAACCTGTCCGACGACCTCGCCTGGGCCTGCGCCACCAACTTCGTTCCCGGGCAAGCGAGCTAGAGGGGAGAGAGCCTTATTAGCGTTCTTGATAGGTTTGAAGAAGAAGGTTCCGTCTTTGTCTTCCCATCTTTTCTTTGGTGAACCTTCTTCTTTCGAGTCGACCGCAGATGACCGTTGTCATGAACCTGAATGCCATCTTTAACAATGGCAAAGCATTTCTTGTCCCAAGTTGATGAACCCAAAAGACCTTTCTCTCTTCCCATGAGGAGGAGGATTACTGGTGTCAAATCACCTAACCCAGTAGATACCTGCTTTGCCGCTGCCAGCCAGTACACGGACTTCACAGGCTGAGCGCTCTGCATGCACCATTAAAGGAGTCTACAGGTCTGGTGTTTCTAGTAGTTGGTTCAATCAATACTTCGCAGCAAGAAGCTGTTCAACCACCTCAAGCATGCCATGATTCATATGCCAAGGGAGGACCCTGGCCATCTCGAGTCAGAACTGTCATTGCTGTCAGAAAAGCCAATGCATGCATTAAACGCCAACCAAACTCGCCATCGATCTTAGCTTCATTTGCTGGGAAAACCTATGCCTGCTTGAGATGGTGCTCATTGGCATTTATGTAGCAGCTGTTTCGTACACTTGTTCCTCCACCTGGGCCATGGATGCTTGTTCTTCACATTCTTCCTTGTGGTTCTTATCTTGACTTCTCGAGAATGACAAAGACAGATCGTGTATTATGATGAGAACAACATTCAGATTTAAAATAGGTTTACAGTCTGATTCAAGTACTGCAAGATAGATAGATATCAAGCCGTGGATACTGAAGCGTGCCCTTTTCCTGGGCGTCACCTTCTTCTTGGCTTCATTTGCTTTGAGAAGAGGCAAACATCGGAAAAAAAGGAACAACCCCTTCCATACGTCGAACAAGAGATCTGATTCAATCTGCTTTAATATATTTACTAGTTGTTTTTTCTTGATTCTTACCTCGCTTGTAGCTTAAATCCACTACTGAATCCAGCGAGCGAGCCGAGTCAATGGGCCATCGAGTCCGACGATCGAAGGTGGTTGAATCTAACCCTAACCCACGCGCCTCCCAAATCAAGTCCACACATCACACAAATCCCGATTCACGTGCCCATGACACCACCGCCGTACTAATTAAATGCTGTTCAAACCCCACTGCTTGGAGGCAAACAGACAAATCGAACATTTGGGTGGGGATGCCTATCCCAGCAAGCGGTCGCCGAGCCTCATTTAAATGTGATCTCTGTATTAACGCTCTGTCACTCGTGTCAACGTGCCACATACCGCATTAATTAACGTAGCGCATCAACCGAGAACAAACTACACCAATAAAATAAGACCGCGGGCGGCCTTTTGCCGGTCCAACGAATGTCTCGGGTTCAGTGGCCTCCATTTCTTTTATTACTATCATCCGTTTTTTATATATTTGACTGTGATTAAAACTCATATATTATTACTTTATTTCGAAATTAAGCTTCTGTTCAGCATTTATTTATTTATTTGAGGTAAATCAAGGAGGGAGCACGATGACGAGCCGCCGTCAAGGATGACGGTTCCGTCAGAGACGGTAACGGCGATTACTCCCCTTCGCTGTCCTCCCAGCACGTGCGTTCGGGATACGAAAAGCTCATGACATTGGTGTTATTTACGAGATTATCCCAGTGGGAATTTTCCGTATTCATTACACTTTGCAAATTGCAAGCGTTAGCTTAGATAATTAAGTTGAATATTTAAAAATAATTAGATTAAAAAATAAATAAAATAAAATTCATGAGTATGTTTCAAGAGAATTGCGTGAATGACAGTGAAGGCGTCAGGACGACAGTAATGTTACGAGAGATAGTCCAATTTGGTGGTCCAAATCCCGGCCTAAAAATTGGGACAGCGCATCCGATCGATGGAGGATCCAACTTCTCTCACCTAACCCCTAAATTGCTAATAAAAAGAAATTAAAGATAAATTAAGCATGTAATACATTTACTTTTTGTGGTAATAAGATCTCAATTTTTAATCTAATTTTTTTGGTGTTGCGTGAATCTTAAAGCATGATGGAGACCACGAGCAAATCGAGGCTGGTTTGGTAAATTGGTGGGGGAGTTGAGGGTGTTTCGGTCGGTGACCTCCGACGGCGATGCTCAGTAATGAGAGCATCGAGGGGGAGTTCAATTGAAAGAGCCTAAAAAATGAGGATGGATTGAAGGGAGGTATCGTCTCTTCTTTTTGTTCCTTCTTTTGATTGTGACCTCAGTTTTCGCTTTTGCCTTTTTCTCTTTTCGGTGTTGGAGATTGGGATTAAGGTTTATAGTCGTTGGAGGTTTCTTGATTTGGAGTCATCTGGCGGGCAGAGATCTTGATTTGGAAGCTTCAAAGTTGGCGCCTTTCTTTGGCATCCGGCCGGATTTGTCTGCTCCGCTGCGTCGAGCTGAGGACTATTGCGGCGCAGATTTGGGAAAAGAAGCGCGTCCTGAGCGGCGAAACGAGGGAAGGTTTGTATTCTTGATGGATTTTTCACGCCTTTGGGGAGCTCAGGGTTCATGTCTATGAAATCGAGGAATTTGGAGGCTGTTGGGGAGCTCAGGGTGCTCGAAGAATTTGGAGGCTGTTGTGCGCGATTTCTGAGGGATCATCGTCGCTTTGGTTCTGAAGCATTGGTCGAATTTTAAATCATAGATTGGGGGAAAACGGTGTTCTTTGTTTTGAGATCGTCGTTACTAAGAAAGTTGAAGAGATTTTCTTGACGCCTTTTGTCGACTCCCCGATCAGATTTCTGAGTTGAGGCTGCGGTGAAGCTCTTCCTGTTTGCTAGGGTTTTCGTCATATGATTTGAGAAATCAAAGAGTTTGTTACTATACCAGATTCACTTTCTTTTTTCCTGTCCGTTTCCTCGCCAAAAAAAGCAGTAAGTACATTCACGAGAACAGTGCTTTCATGCCTTTTTATTATATCGTCGCCTTTTCTCCTCGCTCTCTGCTTCGGAAAAGGACCATCTTTTCGACAAGAGATCCCCGCAGCAACTGTATTCTAGTTCTTCGAAACATCTAACGTATGAGGTAGATGAGAAAATCAGATTATGATGCAGGTGAGATCGACGAACAGTCGGGGATTCGGGGATATAGAGGGGCAGTAAAGAACAAGGGAAAGCTGTACTTTCTTGTGGTTGGTCGAAGTGAAATCATCTCGTTTCATCTAAATAGGTCAAAAGTGTCCTTTCTCTTTGTTCTTGATCTGAACACCGGAAACAACAGTTGGTATGCGTGAAGATGTTTGTTATCTGCATTTGCCTGGTCGAATCAGTGTATTAGTGAAGGAAAAGACATCTCTTTCTTCTCTTTTTGCGACTCATAAGAGTAGGTCTGGCTTCTGAGAAGTTGCTGTGGAGGCGAGGGCCTAGTCAAGAAGGTTGTGTTTGAGTATAGCAGGAGAAATGAGTGCCAACCAGCAGCATCACAAGCGGGGGAAGACTGCTAAGGGCTTTGATGCTACTGAGAAGGTTGTTGTTGCAGTCAAGGCCTCAAAAGAAATCCCAAGAACAGCTCTTGTATGGGCTTTAACGCATGTTGTTCAGCCTGGTGATTGCATAATGCTCTTAGTTGTGGTTTCACCCCACAGTCCTGGTATCAATCATCTAAACTCTGTTTATTTTTTATCTCTAATGCTCTCTCTCCTACTTTTCCTCTTCTGTTAATCCTTCAACCTTTATATTCTGAAGAATCTCCCAAGAGCTTTTACATCTTCTTTAGAGAAGATTCTTACCAGTCCTGATGATCACTGGAACTTGTGGTTCATTTAGATTCTTGTCTAGCTAACCCCTGTTTATGATAGTTCCCTAATTCCTGTTGTAATATTTATGCTAATCAGGTGTGAAGCATGAGTTTGTATCTGTTATGGGATTGGTTCCGGGTTGATTGATACAGATTCTAAAGTAGCATATATAGTTATCAGAAAACATAGAGGTTTCTATCTAGTATAAGTTTGGTTGTTCAACATTATGCAGTTCAATATGCCTAAATTTTATTATCGAATTATAGATTCTCATGAGTTCACGGGTGACATTTGACATTTGACCCACAAATCCATGTGGAGGATCTGATCTTCTATTTTCTTGTAGTTATTTATGTTATGTATGACAACATAAGCTATATATATATATATATATATATATATATATATATATATATATATCCATACTTAAATGGGTTGCTTATGTTTACATTCTAGCCTAAGATACTAAGGTGTAATCTTCTGTCATGCCCTCTTCTCTGGATTATGTGCTTAATAAGTTTTTCGTCCTTCAGGTAGAAAACTATGGGGGTTCCCAAGATTTGCTGGGGACTGTGCTAGTAGTCACAGGAAGTCCCATTCTGGCACTGCTTTGGAGCAGAAGTCTGACATAAGTAATTCTTGTTCTCAGATGATGCTGCAACTTCATGATGTTTATGATTCAGATAAGGTTAGTTACTATGGCATTTACTTTTGGTCTTCCTTAACTTGGTAGATATGCTAAGTACCTGGCCTTTGCAGATAAGTGTCAAGATAAAGATCGTCACTGGGTCACCTTGTGGTGTGGTGGCTGCAGAATCCACACGAGTTCAGGCAAACTGGGTCGTACTAGACAAGTAATTATTTTTTGTTTGAACCTTTTCCCTTATATTTTTGCTTAATGAGAAAAAGCAGAATTTGTTTCATCAATTCATGAAATTCTTCTATGTAATTTCTGAAGTCAGAAGCCCAATGCATGAGCTTCTTATGATATTGTCCTTGCCTTCTGATATTTGACACCACTGCTTTCTGCAGACAGCTGAAGCATGAGCAGAAGCATTGCATTGACGAACTGCAATGCAATATAGTTGTTATGAAGCATTCTCAACCTAAAGTTCTTCGCTTAAATCTAGTAGGATCTCATGAGGAAGAGCCCCAGTTGCCTTCTAAGTTAGATAAGACAAACACTGATAATGACATCAAAGGTTCTCAGAATTTCAGTAGAGGACCAGTTGTAACACCAACTAGTAGTCCTGAATTAGAGACATCATTTACCACTACTGAAGCTGGGACCTTCTCGGTGTCAAGCTCAGATCTTGGAAATTCTCCCATTTTTTCCACTGTTAAGAAAGAGGAGCATACAAGTGTGAAGGAAATCAGGAATTTAGATGTATCTACCTCTGATTCTGACAGTGAGAGTCTGAGTCATACGAGAACAGAATTTCAGCCCTGGATGGCAGAGGTTTTTGGTAATGGCTGCCCATCTTCAAAGGAGATTCAGGAATTATCACATGCACTTGATACCAAAGCTCGTATTTCTACAACAAAAGCCTTGTTGGATAAGTTTTCTAAGCTGGATAACAAATCTGAAATTGGTTCTTTAAGTTACAGATCAGATTTAAACTTCATTGGGAATGTCAGAGAAGTAATTTCTCTATCTAGAAATGCACCTCCAGGACCACCTCCTCTGTGTTCAATATGCCAGCACAAGGCACCTGTGTTCGGAAAGCCTCCTAGGTGGTTCAGCTACTCAGAGCTAGAACTTGCTACAGGTGGGTTTTCTCAAGCAAACTTCTTGGCTGAGGGTGGGTTTGGATCTGTGCATAGAGGTGTCCTGCCAGATGGTCAAGCAATTGCAGTCAAGCAACATAAACTTGCTAGTTCCCAGGGTGATCAAGAATTCTGCTCGGAGGTGGAAGTTCTAAGCTGTGCACAACATCGCAATGTTGTGATGTTGATTGGATTCTGTGTTGAAGACAGGAGAAGGTTGCTGGTTTATGAATATATTTGCAATGGCTCATTGGATACTCATCTTTATGGTAACTCCTTTAGTCATGATAGATATGTATATAACTATTTATATATTACTAATGCTATGGTACATGAGATCATTGGTTGTTCCAATGAACAGTCTAAATTGAACTTCTAGCTCTTATGTTTTGACGTAATACTTTCCTACAAGTGCACTGTCTTCTTTATTACTAAAGAATTTCAAAAGGAAATTCATCTTGTTCCTAGTTCAAAATTCATGTTGTAGCACTTGAGGACTGTGGCGGCAATTTTTGAGTATGGATATATGATATGGTTTGAACATGAGTGTTGGATATTTATGAACAAAATCCCTCGGGATTAAATTTATAAAACATTTTGGTCTTTGATAGTTGAGATATCCTGAAGTGCTTACGCATTATGTATTCATATGCGAGAATGTAATAATGTACATGATATTTGAGTTGAACATACTGCAACAGTGAGACAAAAACCGTTGAACCTTTTTCTTACCAAAAAGCCATTATCTTGATTGTTGGACATGATCTGACTTTGAAGATTATATTCATTTATGCTTGTAGGTCGTAATCGGGAACCTCTGGAATGGTCTGCTAGACAAAAGATTGCTGTAGGAGCTGCTCGGGGGTTGAGATATCTTCATGAGGAGTGCAGAGTTGGTTGCATAGTCCATCGGGACATGAGACCGAATAACATTCTTATAACCCATGATTTTGAACCGTTGGTATGGCCTTCCATTTCTCTTCTTTATAGTTTTGATCTGACAAGGACACTTGTTGCTTTTGTGTATAAAAAAAAACTCTGGTACTTGCTGTTGTCCCCAAGTTCTGTCCAATGATGTTTAAGGATTGTTACCCATGCTGAGATAGATATTTCACTTTCTGTTTCCAAACATTTATTTCAGCACTGCATTGTCTTGGGCATCTGGTGACGATATCCTTGTGCTTAATGCAGTTTAAAATTATTTCTGTATGATTGTTCGATCAGATCAAGCCTGTCCCCAAAGCTTAATTATTGAATTCATGGTTGTTCACATTTTACGAGAAACTGTAATTTCATGTCCATAAACAGAAAATTTTCCAGATTTAGATTTTGTCCAAGAAGATTCTTCAGGTTGTGTTACATCTTTGTGTAAGTTCATCTTATTGTCTCTGTGATTGTTGGATATACTGATAGTTGGCAACCATTACCTTCTAACCAAGATCAACTATCACCTCCCAGAGAAGGCAATAATATCTTGAAAAATTGCTGTAAGCATCGGTTATTTTGTGTTTTTCATGTTCTCTACCATTCCCATGTTGCTTCTGGCTTCTTAAAGAGACAATACCTTATGATAATTTTAATATAATTTTACATATCTGCAGATAAGTGTTTAACTTTCTGAAATATTTGTTTCACTTATAAAACTAAAAAATCTGACCTTTAAATTGTGTCCAAAAGGTTGGTGATTTTGGCCTAGCGAGATGGCAGCCTGATGGTGACCTTGGCGTGGAAACAAGAGTCATAGGCACCTTTGGGTAAAGCTTGAATCAGAGTTAAATATCTTTTACTTCCACTGCAATATATTAAATATGAATCATCTCCATGCTTCTATTTTAGATATCTTGCTCCAGAATATGCCCAAAGTGGGCAAATTACGGAAAAAGCTGATGTGTATTCCTTCGGGGTGGTACTATTGGAGCTTGTTACTGGACGTAAAGCTGTTGATATTAATCGACAAAAGGGCCAGCAGTGCCTGACTGAATGGGTGAGCAGAAAGTTTTCTTTGAAGAGAATGTATTGGTGCTGTACTGTGATGGTCAGATTGGAACTTGGTTATTTAGCTATACTAACATTTTGTTTTAGGTTGTAACTACAGTCAGATTTATCGCCCATCTGATTTTTTCTCTGAAGTTGGGATCTTAGACTAGCACGATTTTCTTTTATGCATATGGGCTTCTTGTTTCCTGCATCTTTGATTGATTTTGCTTGAACAGGCTCGGCCTTTGCTTGAAGAAGATGCAATCGTTGAGTTCGTAGACCCATGCTTGGGGAACTGCTACTCTGAACACGAGGTCTCCTGCATGTTGCATGCTGCGTCATTGTGCATTAGGCGTGATCCTCAGTCAAGACCTCGAATGTCTCAGGTACGACTACATAATGTTATGACAACAAATATGAGAAGAAAATCCTCGCTTTTGGTCCTGTACTAATGTTCTAAGCTTCATGTGTGAAGGTTCTTAGAATATTGGACGGAGATGTGGTCATGGATTCAGGCTATACTTCCACGCCTGCATATGCCAACGGAAACCGGAGTGGATGGATGTGGCCTGACCAGCAGCAGCAACAACTTAGCATTCCAGTCAAACAGGCTATACAGGTTTCGGCTGGCAGCAAATCCTACGAGGCTTTACGGACAGCCTGGGAAAGAGAGAGGGAGAGTATCTTGCAAAGATGTTAAAGTTGGAACAGAACTATTATATGCCTATGTGCCGTGTGCAATGTGTATTCCCATAGATTGCTCTTTTATTCTCCTTTTCGTGCTGTATTCATCACTATATCTGTATCGTATGTTAGCACATTTTGTTAGGTTCTTTTGACTCTCAATACGCTGCTACTAATCATGTCTATGTTCATGTTTGGAGATGGATCCCTTGATATATGTAACCCTTGTGCATGTGGCCCGTCCCTCAGCACATTGTGATCTCAAATTGTTTGCTCGATTAGCTATTTAGCTTAAGTTAGTGGTTTGTTTTCAGGTGGGATGCTTCAGCATAGCTGCATCTTTATGTTATGATATTTGTCTCCAGAGAAGAGGAAAGGTGGCCGGCGATGGATGCAATGTCAAGTTAAGATTCTTCAAGTTGTGTGGGCATGACAGATATATGCCAATGCAACGCCTTTGTAGCACAAAGTTGAAGGAACAACTGCAACAAAGGTCAGAAAACACTACTTCGCTGCTACACTATTTGGCACGCTATATAAAATGTTACAGAATACCCAAGAAGTTGGAATTAAGGTGGAGTATGATCAAAATTGTTTTAGGAAATAACAGCATGTAGAAATGTTCGGCACAAACATAATTGCAGAGTACTGTTGATAAGGCAGTTCTGATATACATAGTTAAGAAGTAAAATAAAGAACAGACACATCGTTGTTCATTAAGTTTGCCAACTCATAGATTAAGTTGTGGAGATTGCGATGTTGGCAGATTTAGGCATGATTCGGTTAAGTTACTCTCCCCTCTACTTCCCACCAAGCGTGGGAAACTGTCCAGGATCTTCGATTGATGGAGCAGCAGCTGCTGCGAAGCTGGAACCCCCACCGCCATACGAACCTCTGAGTGGTCCACGATCACCTCTCCCCCTACCACGTCCGCGGCCACCTGGACTGTAGTATCTTCCTCCTTCGGCTGGCTTCAAGAACTCATTGATGCTTAAAGACTAACAAAGTAGAGAACCTCATCAATCAACCAAAAACTAAAAAAAACCTAACAGATAATGCTGCATATGAATTAAAACGTACTTTTTTGCTGCGTTCATCACGATCAGCATTTTCTTTCTTTTTCCCAAAGTCCTTGTCAGAACCCTGAAAAGACATCAAATCAAAAGCATTGTAAGAAATTTTTAAAAAATGATGTGGCACAACAGCAGGAAGAGTATGAAGCATAAAGGTCCATAGCGACGTACCAACTTAACAAAGATAGGGTCGTTTTCTTTTTTTGTTGAGAGTTGCTGCATAGACTGCAACTCCTTGTCAATTTCAACTTTCCTCTCCTCAGCCTTCATTGCAAGCAAGGCTTTCCGTTTCTCCTCCCTTATTTTCTCATACTCTTCCAAAGTCATCTCCTACACAAATGAGTCGAACAAGACTGAATATATATAACTGCCAATTTACTGTATTTAGAGTGGTATAAACTAGAAAGCCAAATATATGATCATAAAGCACACACAGTAGACCTCAACCAAAGGTAACCAAGGCACCAAGCAGTAGCATAAACCAAAAAAAAGAAAAGGATGGTCACAAGAGAATTCTGAATATACCCCTCAATATATGTTATTTACTACTCAATTTGCATATATACAGCTTAAGAATATTTTACGTCAGCATAAATAACCCTCTGCAAGTTGACATCCCCAAACACTGAATTTTCCTACTAACTATGAAGAATAACTATGATGTCAAACCCTTCATAATAATACAAGTTCCACAGAACTGTCAAACCACCCTTTAAAATATCTTTTCTATGTTAAATAACAAAAAAGATCTGTCTATTTATTTCACAGATTAAACAAAACCAAGGATGAAACCAAGTCATGGAAAAAGTAGTTCATCAAAGTCATACAATGGGACACATGCAAGTATGATAAATTTTGGAGGCTACCTGATGGAATATCAATTTTAAAATGGTATATATTAATAAATATTTTAATGTTTATCGGTTCAAAAAGGAAAAATTATTTAAATCAGCCTAATGACAGCTCTCATTTTCCACAATTTTGAATCCTTAGCATAGCAAAATGTATCTTCAGAAAAATTAAATGTCAAGAGATACACAATCTTCATAATTTTTCATGATTTTAAATCTAATATTAGCACAAGAGTGTCTTATATAAAAATTAAATGTCAAACAATATATATTCTTACTTATTTAACATTTGACTATGACTGTTATACAATAAGGTTAAATTGTAGCAAATCAAAAGTACCAACAAAAAAATAGCAATGAAGACAAATTAGCTCCTTAAAACACCTAGAAAGCCAAATAATGAGAGTAATCAACACTGATCATAAAAAATCAGTTTAATACAAGTATGGCAGCTTCCTGAACTGAAGCATGAATAATTGCATACAAATTAGTTCAATTTACTCCATGCCTTGCAGGACCCTTCGACACTTGATGACTAAACAGAAATGCTAAGTTCTACATTCTTATATGCAACAAAATTAGTCAATTGTGCACCAACTTGAAAGATCAGGGGCTGGAAAAGAATCTATTTTTGCCAACAGAGAAATGCAGCAGCACCAGAAAACACAAAGAAAAGGAAGGGAAGAAATGATCTACTATTCTTCACTTCCAAGTAACAAACATTTAATTCTAAACGGCAACACGAAGAAGAAACTCAAACATGAGTACAGGAAAAGCTCGCATCTCCCTTTTGTTAAAATTGCATGTCTTGCAAGAATAAAGGAACCAAAATTCACCAACATAGCACGAGTTCAAAGCCTCAGTTCAAAATGTCCTGATAATCTTCCCTATGGATGGAAACACAAAACTACTTATTGAATCTCACTAGATAAACTGCAGTATAAAACAATTTTGAAAATGCTAGTTGCAGCATAAAGCTCAACGCCAAGTGATATAAAAACAGAAATCGGGAGATGGTGGATTCAGAATCATACAACTTACAGGGGGGAGGTCATCTATAATTTCTCCCTCTTCCTTAATTCTACTTCTCTGGATCATTTGTTCAGTTTTTCGTTCTCATTTAAATATATAGGCTGACAGAAAATATGTATATGGTTCTCAAACACAAACGTAACAACTACAAAGTACCAGTAACTTAATACTAGGAACCAAGGTTCACCATGCTGTAGCATACCGCTCAGTACAGACGGTACATACCAATATGTAGGCATGTCCTATCATACTATGTGTTGGTGGATCGGTATGGCTCGATACATACCATACCAATGACCATTCGATGGCAAACCATGCTAGGAACCAGTGATTTAAAAAGCGCTAGG